CAGGCGCATTACCCTGGGGAAGAGGAGAGCAGAGCAGGTGAGGGGAAAGCACCAACACCCTGTCAGCCACTACTACCAAGCAGCAAATGAATCTAGGGAAAGAGAACCCCCTTCCCAACAGACTGGAGAGATGGATGGGCTGCAGCAAGCATGCCAAGAGGCAGACTAGGTCCTTAGAGATCTGTTGGACTATTAGCATCAGCTCAGCAAGTCATTATTAATGTTACTTCAAACAAAACCGAAGGGTGCATCACCAGCAGGGCTGCTCTGAGGAAGATTTTGCTTGCTCAGCAAGATCCCTTGTGTGTGGGGCTCCCTGGAGCCTTCACGTGCCATCTCATCACTTCTCTGGACTCCTGCTCACCACCTACAGACCTTGGGACACTTAGCAAAGCACAGGGCCCCTGCTGAGAGTGAAGGAGAGACTAGCTCTAGGAATATTCTTGTCACCTAACTCACCTTTCCCTGTTGCCTTTTCAGCAGCCTCCCTCCCAGGGCAGAGGGGCACTGGAAGTGACCAAGGAGACCGGAGCCCTGCTGCTCTGGGATTTTTTCCGCTGCTACATCTGAGATCATCCCCAAGGCAAGCAGGTACGTCTCGAGACCTGCCAAAGAATACTCAGAGCTCTGAGAATCTGGACCGGTAAAGCCCTCAGGGCAGGTGCAAGGGGAATGTGGCACCCAGGCAGGATGGCAAAGCCCCTCTGAGCACCGCACAGTCCCAAGGGAGGATTAACAGCCTCCTTCAGCGCTATGTCTTCACATCCTCATGTAACAGAAGCCAAATGAAGAGCATAAAAGCAGTGTGCTGATGCCTGTGTGCGCTGGCTAGCTGGCACGGAGAAGGTGGCAACCACAGTCTGCTCTAATCAAGGCAATATGTGACCCCATTCTCCTGCTGGAATGTCCTGAAGAAAAGGAGTAGCCAACAGCCGTTTTCAAGCCTCGGGACAGATTTTACCCACCCATGTTCTGGGCGAGGACCAGCACCACAAGAACAAGAGAGTCTCCAGCCAATTATCTGAAACTCACCACAGCTAAATGACTTGGCCTGTGTGCCGGGTTTCAGTGCTTCCCGGTACCAAATCTGAGATGAAGGGAAGGGTAAGAGGTTCTCCTCTCTGCCATGAGCTGCCCTGTGATACGTGTGCTCAGAGGATTAAACTAATTTGGCTTCCTTGAGGTGAAGTTGTGCTTGTTAAAAAATCAGCTCTAAACAGCCGGATTTCAGTGAAATGTGTGAGTAACTAAAGCAGATGACAGCAACTACTGGCACCCAGACAGCATTGGAAATGGGCAGTTTCTCCCAGTAAGCTCATTTACTAATTAGAATGAATTACTTCATATAATGCCAAGTCTTCCTGGTTTTATAGGGCTGTTCCCAAAAGTGAATGGAGATGCTGCAAGGGTTGATTTTTCTTTTTCCTTCTCCATGGGACAGTAAAAAACTTTGTTCTAATGAAAACCTCCTCCCCACATTTTGGAGCTCTGTTCATTGCTCTTTATACTCCAAAGACTTTTCACACAATTAGGAAGTGTGAATATTAGCAAGCCTGCTGCTGCTTTTCCCAGCACATGTGCTCCTTGTGCCTACACAAACCCAACCACACCTTGGCTGCCTGGTCCTTACCTTTGCCGTATGGATCTCATCACCTGGTGAGCCCCCTCGCCCTGGTACAGCCATGTGTGCTGGCTGTTGCGCACCAAGTCACTCATCTTCGCTTTCTGGCTTCCCATGTACTTGTGGAAATCATGGATATTCAATTGTTTGAACTCCTCCAAACTCAGCACACCTATGAGAAGAGAGGAAAAGCTGGTGACACTCCCGCAGGTAATAAATAGTTCCTGGTGTTCTGTATCCAGAGAAGCCACCAGCTGAGGGCACTGCAGAAACTGCCTTCCTCAAACCAACCCCATCCACACTGGGGATCAGGTCGCAGAGACCAGAGGATGCTGCCCAGCAGCCAGCACACATCACGGGCTGCAAGCAGAGCTCACCCAGACAGTGAACCCAGTGCTGCTGTGGTGCCAGCTTATCTCTCTTGGACAACAGCACTCAGTCACCAGGGTCAGCCTGGGACAGGTCCTTGGATGCCAGTGGTCATAACCAAATTATCCACCATTATTATTTCTAGTGTCTCCATGTCCCCACATCCCCCCTGCTCCACAAGGTCTTTCATGACGCAGTGCCACATCCAGGTTGTGACCTGGTCTCCTGGTGTCACATACCAATCTAACAACAGAAGGAAGCAGCACTCTGGAAGTAAGGTCCTGCCAAGAGCATGTTAACAGGACCTTACATTTGTTAATGTCTGGAATGGTGGAAAAGCCATGGAGGACTCAAACATACGCTCCTACCCCTGCCAAGAATGCCACCGGTACCCTCTGGATATTTAGGCATTCACACGGGTACTGCTTCAACTCCAAAGCAGCTCCTCCTGAGCAGCTCTCAGTGCCAGGTCACTGGAAGACAGTGTGCAGAGCCTGTGTGTTCACTTAATTTGATTAGGAAATGGACAGTTGCTTAATTGAGGCCACACTAATTAGAGCAGCAGAAGTTAGAATACACATCCGGACCAGCAGGAGCCCTTGGGAGACCAGGGGCAGGAAGAGCAGAAGTGTCCTCACAGAATACAAGAGTTTGCAGTGGCAGAGATGGGGGTCAGTAGCAAAGGCTGACCAATAAGACCATCTCCACTTACTGAGGCCTGCCAGGGATGTGGGGCTCCCAGCTTGCTCCAGAAGTCTCCATGAAAACAGGGTGGAAGTGGAAGGCACCTTAACACCTGCAGCCCACATAACAAGGGCTACATAGTCAGAAACAGAGCAGTCTGTCAGACCACAGGAGCACACACTGAAGATCATATTATAGCAGGGCATGAACCAAGGCAGGTCTGAGAGGTGAGAGGGAGCACAGAGCTGTGTTCTGGTCCTACTTCTGCAAGATCCAAGCCCAGGAGGTAGAACTATCTGCAGCTAGACTGGTGTCTACTGGTTTACACTGATTTTACTTTTCTGCCAAGTCTCTAAAGCAGTGTTATTTTCCTTTGAAGAGCACAGGTAGAGAAATGAGCCTGGGCAGGAACATTGCTCCTGCTTTGCCCCACATGGCTGTGCGAGGTGTCAACCGTGCTGAAGGTGAAGGCATTCCCATGGAGCTGCTCTTACCATTCCCATCAGGATCAGCCTTGACAGCAGTGTACATCTCCCGGATGTTTTCGGGGGTCATCCACCTGCCGTTCCCAAGCCGGGTGTGAGTCAACACCTGAAATTCATAGATGGATCAACACCAGACACTGGTTTCTTGTACTACCAAACCCTACAGATTGCCCTGCTTGAGGCCTGGTGGGCTCTGCTCTGCAGCCAGGCATCAGCATGTCTCTGCAGAAAGACGACTTCAGGGAGAGCCATCTGGCAGCCACACACAGCATGTGGCTGATGAGTGCTGTTATTTCCACTTTAGGTCATGGCAAATGACTGCTGGGACATTGTTAACCAGTCCTGAAGTTCCTTCTCTTGAAGGGAAAGTAAAACCCACAGCACCAGGAACGTTTTACCCAGCATATTCAAAACACATCTGCCAAGGACCATCGCTGCCTCCCAACAGCAGCACAACTGCTGTATACCTCCCTAGAAACTTCCATGTGGAAGGCCAGCACAAGTCTTGAGACATAGAATTAAGCAAGTACTGACTGGAATATACTGGGGTCTGGCCCTACCCAAGCACATGTGTAATGAAGAGACCATCTGAGCAGGAGACCGCTGAGAAGGTGCCCAACAAACATTCCCAGGTCTGTCCCACACTCTACCTCTTTGAGCTGCAGCTGCCCATCCTGGTTGTGGTCCAGCAGATTGAAAATGTCCATCTGGCTGATTTCTATCATTTCCATGGCTTCCTCATAGTCATCCGTTGGCAGGATCTGGCTCTTCTGCAGCCCCTTCAGCTGGGCCAGATGGATGATGAGCTTGCACTCCTCCTCTGTCAGGAAGTCAGGAATTTCTGCAGCAGAAGCGTGAGCAGCAACAGACACTGAGGAACTGTTATAGTGAGACCCCAAACCAATGGCAGGGCACTCAGAAAAAGGAGAAAAAAAAGGGTGTGAGGAATTCAGGAACTGACTAAGTTTGGGGCATTCAAACACATCTGAGCACACACCATACACCTGTGCTGCTGGGGGTGGCTATTTTTACAGCAGCAATTCATAAATGTTTGGATGCAGAGGTCAAGCCCTTAAACTCTCTCACAGATACCACAATGGACAAAGGAGTGAACAAACACCTGCGTATCACCACATATTATCACTTCAAAGGTGACATGTGGATCACAGTCTGGGAACTGCTGCTCTACAGGAAGAGAGGCGAGAAAAACTTTGTGGTGGGCAGTGGTGACTGCAGGGTTTCAGGCTTCTGTGGTCTCACGTGGAGAGGACAGCGCCGTGACCCTGGCACAGTGAAACCCAAAGAGCAAGGAGAAGACTTTCAAGCTTACTCCCACTCATTCACTTGCTTCCCCACTAAAAAGGGTCTTTAAGTGCACTATTAAAGGGGAGGGCACTGCACATGGTGGACGCCACATTCCATACTGAGGTACTACCTGGGTGTAATTAGCTTTTTTTTGCAGCACAAAACTAGCAGCAATCAGGCAATAGTAGGAGCCCAAGCAGATTTAAATGCAGATAAATGACTAAGAAATTTCTCACTGCATAGTGCATGGGGCACTTGCAAAGTGCTGACAAGGTCTTGTTCCACAGCAGTTAATGCTGTGAGGTTGAGAAGATCCTTCTTGCTGGTGTCTGCCACTCCCGGGTCAATCTTGTTACCAGCTACTGAGGCTTTTGAAGGTGGAAATCAAAAACATCACAGCAGTACAGGCTTAAGTGCTCCTAAGCCAAAGGTCCTGCTCTCCAAATTGCAGCTCCCTAGAGCTCCTGGAGGTATGTGCCATGGACACATTACATCTCAACTACAGCAACCCTCAAAGCATGGAAAACAGTCATTAGTTATTTCCATGACCTGAAATCAACCCTATCAGCTCAAACTGTCAATGAGCAGTTGGCTTCTTCCTAAGTACAGACCAGAACTAGCCCTGTGGAAAACAAGCTGTTCCTGGGAAGCCCCAGCAACACAATGCAGCTGCCTGTATCCGTGACACCCACTGAGGAAACAAATTCCACTACTGGCAGTGCATCCCAAAGGATGCTTCAGAGCCAGAGCTTCCACTGACCGCTTTGAACCCCATAGCACACCACCAGAATGAACTGTGCTGGCAAGCAATGCTCCCAGTATTTCCAGTTCCGCAAACTGGGCTATAGTAATGATAGCTTCTGGAATCTTAATTATGTGCTGGAAGAAGGACAATCCCTCTCTCCAGAAGGATTTCTGAATGAAGGAACAACTCTCTTAACCAGAAACCATGCTCTGTCACACAGGCTGCGGGGTGAGGGGGTCCAGGAAGGTGTTGCCAATCCCATCTGCAAACAACCTGGCTCCAGAGCTGCAAATTAGTTCCTCTCTACCCTCAGCTCTCCCAAACAGTTAACTTCTGGCTGTGAGACCATCCTATCTCCCTGCCCGCTCAACAATAGATCCTGCTAAACAAATGCCTCTTAATTGACTTTGACTTTGAGCTTTTACAAAAAAACAAAAGAGAGGAAAACATCGGGCCTTATGAAATAATGACTAATCCTGGAGCCAGAGAAAGGGGAAGGGTTAGAGCATTGGTGTCAAACAGAGATTCAATCTTGGCTGAAAGAGCTCCAAGACACATGGGCCAAATCATTCATCCCTCCCCAAGTGCCCTCATTTCCACACCTGCTGATCTAAGCCAAACCCCTGCTAAAATCCAAACAATCAGGGCCGCTGGCAAATGAAAACTGGAGCATTGTCTTCCCCATGAGGGCTCTGAAAGGGCCGCACTTAATGAGGATAGATTGACAGAGAGGTGGCTCCTAGGCTATAAAAGGCATCCCACAGTCGGAGGCAGCTCAGTCTGGGGTGTGCTGCCTGTCTTCCTGCTCCAAGAATGATCACAGCCCACCACAGGCACCCCTTGAGGCTGGGTGGCCCATGGCTGCTGGGCGTCCTGGTGTACCTGCTGCTCTGGGGGTCTCCAGGGGCCTGGGCGAGCTATCTGAGGAGATCCTCCAGCTGCACACCCATCCCACCCCGCATGGCCTTGTGCTACAACATCGGCTACTCCGAGATGAGGATTCCCAACCTGCTGGAGCACGAGACCATGCCAGAAGTGATCCAGCAGTCCTCCAGCTGGCTGCCCTTGCTGGCCAGGGAGTGCCACCCAGACGCTAGGATCTTCCTCTGCTCCCTCTTTGCACCAATCTGTTTGGACAGGTAAGATGTTTTTACAAGTTATTCCTGCTGTCTTAAGTAACTCCCTGAAGAGCACAACTGCATTTGACTTTCGAGAGAACCCACGTCCAGTGCGACCAGTGCTGTCCCCAAGAAGCTGTGTGTCCCTCTTGGCAAGGGGCAATTGGACTTCCCACGAGGGACCATCCCTCTGAAAGTGAAACATGAGCATTCCATCTCTCAGGAGCAGGAATATTATGTTCCCTTCTGTGGGATTTCTTGCTCTCCCACCCCAGGCACTGTTGCCATCTCCCCCAGCCACCCCTCTCACACACCACAGTATCTGCTGGTACCCACCAGCACAGCCCTGAGCAGCAGCAAACCCCTCAGCCTGCTGCCAGGAGGAGCCCAGAGGTGCTGCAATCCCCATCCCCTCCCCAGGGTCATCTACCCCTGCCGCAGCCTGTGCGAAGCCGTCAAGAGAAGCTGCGCTCCTGTCATGGCTTGTTATGGGTATCCCTGGCCCGAAATCCTCAACTGCAACAAGTTTCCTGCTGATCACGAGCTGTGCATCGCAGCAGTGTCCATGGATGAAAACTCCACCAGTAGGAGAAGTAAGTTTGGTTCTTTTCTCCTATGTTTTCCCACAGGCAACACTGAAAGCTCAGCGGATCAGCCTGCCCAGAATTTCTGGGTTTAAGCTGTGTTTAAAGAAGTTATAAATTCCAGTTTTGTTCTCTGTGGGAGCGCCACTGTGTCTGGAAAATTAGTGTAACATTGACTGCAGCTTGTTCCCCTCTCTGCTGTATTCATTAGCTCCCTGGGTGCCATCAGACCACGCAGGGTTTGGGGCAAGGGGAAGGAATTGCTGTCAAAAGCCTAATGCCCAGGAACAGCGTGAGAGCTCATGGCATGCAGGCTCCAGGCAGTGAGACGTGTTTCCAGCAGGGCTCTGGAGCTTCAGCCCTCATCTTTCAGCTGTGTCCAGGGTTTAAAAACATGCAAAAAAGGAGAACTGTTTTGTAAGCCTTGTTTTTAAACATTAGGAAACACCACTAAGGGGCATGAGCCTCTGCAGACATGTCACACCAGAAAAAAAGAATCTCTAAGACTGAAAGACTGAATTAAACACTCACATACTGGTGAATACTGGGGTAGATCCAAGAACAGCTAAGGGCAGGACTTATGCCTCATTTCAGCATCACTGGATGTAGTCTGGCCATACCAGTGGTTTTACTGTTTCACCCACACTAGGAGATCTTCACCAAGCATTTTCACTGCTGCTTTAACATGCAGCAACACACACAAGCCTAAACAAAGCACAACAAGCAGCATCTTCCCCAGCCCCAGAAAGGAGAACTTGACATTTCCCACCCTGGCAATCTGAGATGTCCTGGGTAGCTCAGGAGGAAGCACCACTCAGGAACAGCAAGCCACCACTTGCAGATATCAAAAGTATCATTATGCCTTTTCCAATGATGCTTGACAAGGGTGTTCTAACTAGATTTCTGTTGCAGCAGTACCCCGAGCCAGCTGCAAGGACTGTGAGCTTGAGGAAGCCAGCACTGCCAGGGAGATCCTGGAAAACCTCTGTGCCAATGATTTTGGTGAGTACAACCCCCCCCATTCTCTCAGTTGCTGCTGTTCCCTCTAGCAGCCACGTACTGGCATGGACAGAAAATGGCTGCAGCTTTTACAGCAGACGCCAGGGATTTTAGGTATTAAGCATTCCCCAGGGAAGTGGTGAAGTCAGCAACTCTGGAAGTATATAAAAGATGTGTAGATTTGGCACTGAGGGATATGGTTTAATGGTGGACCTGTCAGTGCCGAGTTAACAGTTTGACTCAATGATCTTAAAGGTCTTTTCCCACCTAAATGATTCTGTGATTCTAAAAATGGTGTTCAGTACTGGAAACTCACTTCAAATGAGAACTTTTATAAGCTCACTGCAATTACAAGGGATGGATGTGTCACCACATTACAAGAACAGCATGAAAGCCTTGCGTTGCTGTGTGATTAAGTAGTTAAGAGCTATATGGAAAGTAAATAGAACTAACATCTCTTTTTCCAACCCCTATAGCAGTGAAAATACGAATCCTGAGGAAGAACACCACAACTACCATCTCAGACTTCGACCTGGACACCTCCAGGGTGGAGGTCCTGAAACATGGTCCCCTCCTCAGAACTGAAGTCCCCGGCAGGCTCCAGCAGTGGCTGGACATAGACGCAACCTGTGTCCACAACATCATGAGAGGCACGCACACAGGGGTCTTCGTTGTAAGCGGTGAAGTGCAGAGTGACAAAGTGGTGGTGAACAAGGCCTACGCCTGGCAGAAGAAGAACAGGAACCTGCACCAGGCAGTGCGGAGGTGGAAATATCACCGCTGCCCCGACCAGGCTGGCCGGAAGGTCTGAAAGGTCTGAATTCCAGCAATAAGAAACTGCTCCCTTCCCTATGGCTAGAAAACTCCTTTCCCTGGAAGTTGGTGTTTTCGAGATGTACAGTCAATATTTTTAGGTGATTCAAAGCAGTCATAGTCCACAGATAGGGCCTCACAACACATTTACAGATCCCTGTTTTACTGAGACAGAGCTTGAGGGTGCAGGTTTAACATACTCCTCACACAAGGCTCTATAGATCCAGGACTTGCAGTGGATGGCTTTGTATAGGATCCAAGGTCACAACAAAACCAAACTGAACTCTGCAGGCAAGAGATCTCTGGTGCCAGTTTCTCCTAGATCTTGTCATCGAAGTTGATAGCCATTTCAGCTTTATTATTTGAACCAGAGCCACTGATGCTGTCCAAGTGCCTGCTTGCTTTCTGTTCAGGGAGATTAGACAAAAGTCCCCCTGACTGCTAAGAGATGCTGTTTGTGTAATGGAAAAAATACTCTTGAACAGTCTGAGATAAACTAAGGGGGAGACAACCCACCCCTGCAACGTCTGGCCCCTTAAAGAATTAGCTGTCTCTTCAGCTTGCTGCATGAGAATTGATGAGCATCTTCAGAGGTAAAAGAAACAGCTGTTCTCAGGCAGGAAAGGCAAACAGCAAAGATAGCTGAGGGCTTCTGCACAACAGGGAAAACCACTTTTTAATACCAGAAATTCAGTTTGGATGCCCAGTAATTGGGTTATCAAGATCTCACAAGAGCCTTGAGAAAGAGCAGAGCAGGAATGAGACATCAGCCATTGAAACCTCTGCTTTTGTGGGCAACAGCAGCTTTGCTTGGGACTTGGAGTGAGCCCTAATCCCAGCACAACAGCAGCTACTTGCAGCTGTGATAAGGGAAGGGGAGAGAAACATTACACAGCTGTCTGGCCTTCCTTCTGCATGCAAAGACAGAAAAGGTTGAAAAAGTCAATCTCGCCAAGTTCTCTGCAGCTCACTCTCACCCAGGTAAGCAGGGACTAGTTCTCTGCTGTAGCTCTACAATCCAGATCAGAGAGCAGAAAACAGCAAATCCCCAAATAAAGAAACAAGTTGGATTTCTACGGCCTAACAAAAATTAAGTGGAAAGTTTTCCACACTGGATTAAACTTGGGAAAGGGGAAAAACAGCTTTTCTGTGTGGTTCATGCTGCCTGAGGTCTTGGTTGTGGGCAGTCATCCGCTTTGATGGAGACACATTGCCTCCCTCTGCTTGTAAAGCACACCAACAACCCGTGATGTGATCTCTTCAGCTTCAGCGTGGGCTGAGACGAGCCCTCAGATGCTCACACTGAAATTCAGCTGCGCTTGACATTTGTGCAGCAATTACTTCTACTCCCTGAGGATCTGAAGAAAAACACAGCCAGATTTCCTAGGTTTTATTCCTCCCTGCTACCTTGTCTTGCAAACTGCCATCCAATCCACAGAATCCACTGTCAAGTAGTCCTGGCAATGGCAGCATCTTCTGAACTATGTTTGGAAAACACACCAGAACATATAAAAGCTCTGAAGGTTGAAAACGCTTTGCCTGATATTTGTTTTCTATTAATAGGATTATTTGATCACTAATGTTGCCTAACTAAAAAGTGCACAGATGGTCTGACTTATGAGCTTTAGAAAAGATGTCTCGTAGCCAGAGGCGGGGGAAAAAATAGGGCAGGGACTTTTTCATAGCTCCATGAAATACATCTGGGTTCAATGCAGATGACTTACATTTAAAAGAGAAACCACAAGTTCCCCTATGGTACCGGTGCCATACTCCAAAGCACAGAGCTCACATTAAGTCATAAATGAGCTGTCCATTGCTTTGGTCCCACTACAGCCCAAAGAAAAGATCACAGACCAGCCACTTATTTCCTTAAATAGGCTCTCACATACCACAACACTTTGTGTTAAGTAAAATCTCAGGAAATTTAAGAGTCCTTGTTTGCTAGTGACTTCTGGGTTTAACACAATCAAGTTAAATACACACTTCCAGACATAAAATAAATCAGGGGTATTCTTAAACCAGATGATTTAGATTGGTTCTGTTTGCATAGATAGAGAAGCCTCTGGAAGTCTTTTAAAGTCAGAGCTGGCTCCTGGCAGGTTTATCTGGGAAATAAGAGCTGTCTTGCTTGAAGTTTCTAAATAGGGGCCTTCTTATCAGAGACGAAGGAGAACAGACTCTGTGGGTCAATGTCTGTCAGACACCATCCTCAGGGAACGAAGCTTCCCCTGGAACCAATGGTGGTGCCGGAGTGACAAGTTAAAAGTTGTGGGATTACTGCTGCCAGGACCAACCTGCCTCTGAGCAGCTTCAGCACCATCCTCACAGGCCAGGATCAGCTCTTGTACTTAACTGGTACCTGTAGGGCAGAGAAGGTGGAAACAGTTTTCCCAAGTGAAAACCAGAAACTGTGGTTCTCGTGATGGCACTGGGTTTGTGATTGCTGTGGGGTGTCAGCTCCGGGCTGGTGTGTCAGACAGAAACCCACTCTGAAATTTGCAAACCATAAGTACAACATATGTGGAGATGCCAAAAGAACTCTATATATTTCTTCCAGATACTTATTGCATTGAGTTTAGTAAGAACCCTACCTGATTTATGGCCAGGCTTTCAGTGCCTACATTCCATTTGCAATTGGAAAAAACCCTCTTTATGTATTATTGAGAAAACATCTAAAAGACTCTCAATGTTGGTTTTCAGATAACAGGTTTTCTTTGACGTTGCAGTAGTAGGATTTTTGTAATCATCTGTACCCCAAAAATCAATTTGTATATTCTCAGTGGATGTCCAGAACACAAGAGTTCAATTAATGAGACTTTACCAGTCATCACAGAAAGGTAAAGGTTTTAAAACATCTGGAAGAAGGATGTTGTGTGGCTGCTTATCAGAGCACTCAGAAATATACGTAAATCTGGAATAAGATGTAAAATGGTGGCAGACATTAAATCTGTCAATTCCCCTGTCAGTCATTTTCTCAGCACTGAAGCACCAACACTAAATTGCTTTATCACCATTCGTTACCAAAACTTTGGGGATCTCTTGCACATTCCTAATACTGAGAAGCTTCTTCAAGGTCCTCTTCAGCGATCTGCTGCCTGTTCATGGAATTTTAAAGGGAATCTGGAAAACCTGGAAAGGTTTATCTTCCAAATCTTTCTAAGTAGACCAGCCAGAAAAGTCACTCCTGCAAATACCGTATCAAAATGCCTTGAACAGAATCACACTCGTTATAAGGCAGCGCCGAGGAGAAGCGAATATGGCAGAAATAGTTTCCCCCAGGTAAGGCAGCGGGAGGGAGGCAGGACCCCCCCATCCTCGGAACCCCCATCCCTGCCGGCCGCTGCCAGCCGGGAACGGCGGGCACCGCTCCCGCAGCCCCGAAACCGGGTGACGGCCGCGCTGACACCGCAGGGGAAGGGGGAGAGGGGCCGATCCGCCCGCTCCCGGCGTGCCCGGTGCCCGTCGCTGCGGGGCCGGTACTCACCGAAGAGCAGCGGCTTGAGGCTGAGGGTGCGCACGGCGTGGACCCTGCCCGGCACCAGCTCCACCCGCTGCGTGTGGCCCACCTGCGGGGGGAGAGCAGCGGTGAGCGGCGGCCGCAGCCCCGGCCCCAGCATCACCCCCCAGGCGCGGCCTTGCCTTGATGCCCTCGAGGCGAGGGAGAGCGCGGGCGGGCGGAGGCGGCGGTGGCTGGGGAGCGGCGGGCGGCCCGCCGGGCTCTCCGGCGCTGAGGTGCACGAAGAGCAGCAGCCCCAGCACGTTGAGGACGTAGAGGTGGGCGAACACCATGAGGACGAGGAAGTACGGCCGCGAGCACACGGGCCTCGGGCGGCCGCCGGGCGGGCCGGGCAGCGGGGGACCCTCCGACCGCGAGGCTGCCGGCGCCGCCGCCGCCATCGCGTCCCCCCCGGCCCGCCAGGCCTCGCAGCGTCACCACGGCAACCGGCCGGCGTGCTGCGTCACCTCGCCGCGGGGGCGTGGCGATGGCGGCAAAGAGCCCCCGTCCCATCCCATCCCATCCCGTCCCGTCCCATCCCATCCCATCCCCTCCCGTACCATCAAGAGCCAGGACACCTCCGGAGTTAGAAATCACGATTTATTTCAAATAAACCATGGGCACACCGCTGGCAAAATGTCTCCCGGGTAGTTTTTCTGCCCCTGGCCCTCTCCGGTGCCTGCAAAGGAAAGCAAGGGGCAGCAGCACTCCGTTAGGGTCACCCCCAGCCTGGAGCAAGGGAAGGCATTCCCAGAACAAGTGCCAGATTTAAAAATAAAGTTCTATTTTATTATTTTTTCCCCACTTGCTTAAAAATTCATAAAACTTGAGAATGCGAGAGTATAGTACAGAAACCTCCTGCAGCCCCAGCCCTGCAAAGGCAGGAACAGCAGTCATGCAGTTCGTGGTATCCATAGAAAACATTTTGTTACAGTCTGGGAAGCCTGAGGACTATTAGAGATGAGGCAGTCAATGTACTAACACGAGCGAAACTGAAATAAAGAGAATGGGATGCAAGGATGGAGGTGTCAGACTGGTGTGGGGACCGGAAATGGGTGGGAAAACTAAAAGTTGTAGCAGTAACAGACCAAAGGGAAGCTGTACCTGGGAATTAAGGGCTCCTGAGATGCCTTCTACTCACCTACATTCATAGAATCATGGAGTGGACCTTAAAGCTCATCCAGCTCCAAACCCCTGCCACAGGCAGTGACACCTTCCACTAGCCCAGGTTGCATTCCTTCACCATCCTCATAGTGAAGATTTTATTCCTAGTGTCTAACCTAAATCTATGCTCTTTCAGCTAAACCATTTCCCCCATGTCCTGTCACTACATGCCGTTGTAAAATCATGTACCCTCACTGGCACATAAAGAGCTGTGTTCCTACTAGAGGAGAAAAACATGGCCTCATCTTTTGGTGTTGAGAATTCCAGTCTCCTCCCTGTCACCTGCCTCGCTGGCAGTGTAAGTCACTCCACACAAGGAGTCAGCAGTTCCCATGCTCTGCAGGTTTCATTCCAGAGCCTATGACTTTCTGTATGACACTACAACAGCA